TAGGCAAAGTGGGGGAGAACAAGTGGTCACAAGACCAGTCAAGAAAAGCAACGCAAGCTCAGGGTGGATCACAAAGTCACCACACAGTCCGAGCACAGGCAAAGAGTCACAAGGCCAGTTCACATGCAGAGTTACATAAAGAGAACAAACAATACAGTGATCATACCCTAGCAAGTACCAGCATGCAGGTATATATATACATATATATATATATATATATCATAGTACAAGCAGAGTCAAGCAGTAAGCAAGTGAGGCAAAGTAAGCACAAGGCCTAACACAGTAGCAAAATGCTGATGATCACCAGGCGGAAGTGCCTTGGTGAATATATCAGCAGTGTTGGCCCGAGTGGCCATGTACGCAAGACGAAGCTGGCCACGCTGCTGCAACTCTCGAGCAAGAAAGTATCGCAGAGTGATGTGCTTCGTTCTATGCTCCAGTCTGTGCTCCTGACACAAGGCAATCATGGCCTTGTTGTCTACGTACAGAACTGGAGGCGAACAAGGCTGCTCTCCCAAGTCAGTCAGGAGGTAGGTGAGCCAGCGTAGCTCCTGTGCAGCCATGGCCCCGGCGTAGATCTCAGCCTCACAACTGGAGCTGAGAACCGAAGACGAGCGGGTAGACCGCCAGGAGAACCCAAACAAAGTGCCATATCGTGAGTGCCTGGGACAGCTGGAGGAAGTCCCAAACTTAGCGTCGTGAGCCTGAGACTCGTGCTTCCACACCTTTTCGTGCTCGTCGTGTCGCCCGTCCTCGTCCTCCAGCTGTCCCAGGCACTCACGATATGGCACTTCGTCTGAAGGTGTGTCGCCACTCAGTGTGACTACGAGCTACACTCTCTCCACCTACTCATACAAAAAGGGCAATCGGGTCGACAAGTGCCGATTCGCAAGATAGCCCGGATCACTGGATTTCTCAACTCCATGTCGCTCGCGCTAGGCACGACGGCGCGTGCTTTCAGCCATGAGCTGCTGCACTTGATCGACTCCGCGTGGTCATGGAACTCGAAGGTTGTATTGTCACCAGGAGCGACAGAGGAGCTGTTGTTTTGGACAATGCACTTCGATCGTTTCAATGGCTCCCCATTCCACCAGAGTCAACGTTTTGATGCCGTGATCCACGTCGACGCAAGCGCACACAGCTGGGGTGCCACCTTGGCCAAGTTCCCAAGTACATCATGCGAAGCAAGCGAGTGCATGCCACGAGGGCTTCTCGCCACATCCAGTTGGCGGCGAGAGCTCGAGGGAGTGCTTTGGGCACTGCGGACGTTCGCAACCTGGATCGCTGGTGCTCACGTCCTTGTCCGGGTGGACAACCAGGCAGTCATGTTCATCTTGCGCAAGGGGGGATCCTGTCAGCGGATCTTACGTTGACATGCCAAGCGATCATCCAGTTCTGCCTCGGCAACACATCACGCCTCGCGATCGAATGGATTCCAAGAGAGCTCAACGTCCATGCGGATGACCTATCCAAGATGCAAGATTATGACGAATACTCCCTATATGCACCTTGGTTTCGCCTCTTGGAACGCCGCTGGGGGCCCCACACAATTGACCTCTTTGCTAACGTTCGGAACAATCACGTCCAGCGCTTCTGCTCCAAGATACCACACCCCGACGCGTTCGCTGTCGACGCATTCTCCATCTCGTGGAAAGGCGAGCGATGCTTTGCCGTCCCGCCTCCACACTTAATCCCCGCTACGCTCTGCCATGCAGAGCTTACACAGACAGAACTCACGCTGGTAGTTCCCCAGTGGACCGGGGCGTCATGGTGGCCGCTCCTCCAACCGTCCACTCAATCGTGGGCTCCGGCAGTAGTAGAGCACCTTTTCCTTGCCCAAGGCAGTCAATGCCTTCGGGCAGGTTCACACACCACTGCATTTTCTGGTCTCGGATTGCCTCATAGCCCAATCATTGCTTTGCGTGTAAACTATGCAGTCTAATAAAAATTTATCAATGTGTCATTTCAGGACTTTTGGCCAAACTACAGCAACAATTGATGCACGTAATTAGCCATGTTCGCGCACCATCTACAATCGAGACGTACCAACCTTATTGGCAGAGATTTCGCACCTTCTGTACCGAAGTCAAGCTCGAGTTCCTACCGGCAACCGACCTGACGCTAGCACTGTATCTCATCCATGCGCTCAACAGCAAAGCAACTCTCTCCGCGATCAACCTTACATGTTCGGCAGTAGCCTTTGCCCATCGCATGACAGGCGAAACCTCCCCTACCGTCAAGCATTCACCCTGCAAGTGCGGGAGTTCGCCAAGAGACATGGTCCCCGACCTGCAAGGACCAAAGAACCAATATCTCTCCATCAAGTGCACAACATGGCCCGTCCCTTCCTCGAATCATCAATTCCAACGGAATACCATAAAGGATTGATTCCTCTTCTCATGTTTTTGGCATTCTTGCGCTACTCTTACCTTGTATCGCTCCAATGGAATGATGTACAGTTCGAGGAGAAGGCAATGTGGCTGCTCATCCCGCACTCCAAGACGGACCAGGAAGGGAGGGGTGTCTGGATCCCAGTGGCGGCAATTTCAGGCCCATACTGCCCGGTGAGGTGCACACGCAAATTCATACGCATCGCAGGCCTCACAAAGATGCCACATGGACCGCTGATAAGGGTTTTCCCAAAGAACTCGCAAGCCACACCGAACGACAACTCGTCATCCTACGTCACGATCAGAAACTGGTGTCTCGCGGCCGGCAGGCAGGCTGGACTAGATGTCGCGCACATTGGAACCCACTCATTCCGCAAAGGTGCAGCCACCGCAGCGGCAAGCCTCGGAGTTCCCGACCGGCTCTTCAAACGCATGGGCCGATGGCGCAGCGACAGCGCGAAGGAGATGTACGTTACAATCGCGCAGGATCAGCTCATCTCCCTCTCCACGCAGTTGCAGGATCCTTCGACGGCTCCCTCACCCGCCACGCATCAGCCATCAATCGAACGGCACCGCCAACCCCGACTGCACTTGCCTCAGAAGACCCATATGAAATGATAACGCTGCCTTTGCAAGTCAGCCTAAGTAGACTTTCACAATATGATAACTTTTGAAAGTGTAATGAAATGTAACACTTTCTAAAATTTTGTATTGTGAAAAGGGGTATGTGGCCAACACAGCAAAGGTAGCGCCGAAGCGCTACTCACCCTCTTTTGCCTACAAAAGAGGGACGTGGGGACATTCGTCCCCACCCACGTTTTCATTTCCGAAATTGTAGTTCTAATTTCCCACCCGCCCACCCATTTGTGTATGCTGTTATGTAGACATATATATGACGAGAACGATGTACCACAACCCATATGAAATGATAACGCTGGCCATATGAAATGATAACGCTGCCTTTGCAAGTCAGCCTAAGCAGACTTTCACAATGTGTTCTTCTTGAGAGATTTCATGGTGAGAAGCGAGCAGTATCACGTAGAGATGATCTGGTTCATGGTCTTGATCTTGACAGTCGTCGTCACTCTTACCGTCGGCATGCGTTTTGTTGCCTCTGTAGCTTGCATGTCATCATCTGCCTTGATATCACGTGCTACTGCATGCAAACCGACTCTCTCCCAGCTTTGCTAGCACCCTCCTTGTCCATGGTGAGCGATTCATGGGGTGTTTCACGTAGCCACCCGACAGGGCCCAAAATATCAAGGTAAAATGCCCTGATTACCCTGGGGGTGGGCCGCTTTTTCAGAGTTACCCTTTCTAAATCAGGCTTCGTAGATTCTTACCCTTACCCAAAAAGTGTTGGTGTTTTTTTCCCCTGATTGGATTTTTAGTTAGCCTGACGGAATCAGGGTTGTGTGATGACTACCCAATTACCGAAACTATTTTTAACGCGGATCAGCCCACATTCTCCGCGTGGTGCCAAAATGTCCCACTCTCACACTGGCACCGTTGTCGCTAGTGACCACAGGCGGGAAACCGTGAAATGTTGTCGGCGGCTCGCCATGTGGCCTTATTGGCTGTCTTACCCATTGGACTGCCAACGCACCCCTGCATCGATCCAAACCACGCCACGCCCACTACCAGGTGAGCAGAGTTGCGCGTCAAGGACAGCTTCTTGCTGTCCTACACATCAACTGAGAAGTTGTGATGTTTGTGCAACCTTATTAATACTGAAGAAATTACATAACAGACAAAGTAGTATTGGAAACTGGCTATCTGTAGAAAAACCATGCTCAAATCAGGCTACTATGCCGAAATCCTTGATTTACCCTGATGCAAACAGGGTATGGAAAATTTTACACAACGGGTCAGGATAAAGAAGAGCTGCAACCCTGATTTGTCAGGGTGGGCCTAAACCAATTTTGGGCCCTGCCACCCGACTTCGTAAGGAACTTCACGCGATTGTGCACGTCCATCCGTTGCTACATCACGTCGGTCAACTATGCTTGGTCCATGTTACGCAGGTTATGGAGCACCGACAATGTTTGCGTAATCATCCTGATATCGGTCAAGGTGGAGGCGTGTTTGTTATTGAGGTTAAGTAGTAAAAGGTATTTTGCATTTCAGTAGAGAGAGTTAGACACTACAGCTATATCAGAGTGTTTTCATATTTAATGTAGCAAGTTTTCTGTTCAGCTATGTCATCCATGATTGAGCGTGGTGCTACAGATTGTTTGCGTTTCAGAGCGTTCTATTTAGCACTTTGACCGGTTGGGTAGGGTTTGGAGCAAAAGTGACCTTTTGGGACTACACGTGGGTAATGCCTTGAACATTATTTTTAGGCCGCGCTTAGCGCAGCTAACCAGCAAAACCAGCCTGCTTGTTTTCAATACACGTTCCAGTCCAGGCACCGTATCTGCCAAAGCGCCACTGGTGTGACGGCAGCAGTGTCCGTTTGAGTCGATCGAAGCGCAGAGCAGCGGGTTTTCGCTCGACGCGGCGAACCGATCAGGCCCGACCAGACCGACCGAGACCGGAGCAGACCTAACGAGACCGGGAGGAGGAGACAGAAGCAGAACCGAAGCTGGCATGGCGGGCGGCGTGGGTCCGATGCTGACGGCGCCGGTTTCGCCAGAGGAGGTGCTTCAGAAGATGATGCACGACGGCGTGTTTGATTCGTTAAAGAACCGGATCCTGCTCGATCTCAAGCACAATGTACGCGTTATTGTCGTGTTAGATGTTTCGTAAGGAGCATGTTAGGGTGAAAGTGATGCACGACGGCGTGTTCGACTTGCCTAAGAACCGAATCCCCTGCTCGATCTCAAAGCGGCGTACGCGATATTGACAGATTCGAGATTTCACTCGAAAGTTCACACCCCGAAATTGGTGCAGGGCCGTGAAACCCTCTCCGCCTACGACGCACGCACTACCCCGGAATTGCTGCAGGTCCAGTCGTGAAAGTCCCTTCTGTGTGACTGTGACTTTAACAGGAGAAGCTGGTGTAAAAAAACGACTTTTTTGTTCTCACAAGGTTTGCACAAAGCCTTTCCTCCCCCTCCCCTCCCCCCCCTCACTCCCTTCTCTCCCAGCCCCACATTTCCGCGTGAATGTAACAGGAAGGAGCTGCAGCAGCGCTTAGGTATGCTGGGGCACAGCTGCAAAGACCTACCTGGTCACGACTCCCCACTTTTGAGTGGACTTAAAAAGATGACTTTTTGAGTCGACTCAGCAGTGCACAGCTATGTTGGGGCACAGCAGCAAAGACCTACCTGCTCACGACGACTCCCCAATTCCCCTCTCCCCCCTCCACACCTTCGCCTCCTCTTCCCCCCCCACTTCTCTCCCCCGCCATATTAACAGGAGGAGCTGCAGCAGTGAACAGCTAAGCTGGTGCAGAGCAGCAAAACCCTCTCTTTTCACGGCGTCCCCCCACCTCCTTACTTCACGCTCTCGTTCCGCCCGCCTCTTCTACCCCTCCCCTCACCCCCTTCCGGTCGTCCCCACCGCCATATTAGCAGGAGGAGCTGCGGCAGTACACGGCCAAGCTGGTGCAGAGCAGCGAAACCCTCTCTGCTCACAACACTCTCCCCTCTTTCAACCCCTCTTTCTTCCCCCCTTTTTCTCCCCTCCCCTCCTTTCCTCCCTTTGATCTGAAACCAACAGGAGGAGCTGCGGCAGTACACAGCTAAGCTGGTGCAGGGCAGCGAAACCCTCTCTGCTCACGACGCTCGCACACGGAACCGGCGAGAGCTGTTTGAAGCTCTGCGGAAAGAACTAGAGTGAGTTTGATATGATATGATGGGGTTCCAGTGGGTTTGAAGGAGTTCGAGTGTGGTTTGATTTGAAGGAGTTCGAGTGGGGTTTGATTTGAAGGAGTTCGAGTGGGGTTTGAAGGGGTTCGAGTGCGTGAGAACGTTGATAAGTGTGTTTGATCCCCAGGCTGCGCTCTCATGCGCTTCCTTCCCAACTCTACTTTCTTTTCCCCCCCATGCACCTACTCGCCTGTTGTTGTTGCAGGGCTCCGGTGGTGGAAAAGGCATCTGGGTTCGCATGGTCCCTCATGCTCTCGCCTCTCTCAGGGGGCGTTGGGGAGGAAATCCATTCGCGAGTCGAAGAGACCTTCACTCGCCTGCACGCCGAGAAGGCGGCCAGTGACTCGCTGACACGTGGCGGCGGCGGTGGCGGTGGGGGTAGCTTTGAGGAAGCGGTGGTGGCAGCGGGGGAAGCAACGGGAGAGGCAATGGCGGCAGCGGCACGCGTGGCAGCAGCGGCGGGTTTCGGGCCGAGGAAAGGCGGGGGCGTTGCTGCTGCGGGACGGGGAGGGGGTGGGGAAGGGGGAGTGGGAATTGGGGGAGCTTCTGCTGTGGATGAGGGAGAGGGAGCGGGAGGGGAAAAAGGGGTCGGTGGTGCTGGGAAGGGGGGTGTTGCTGCTGGTGACGCAGTCAAGGCAGATATTAAGGCAGAGACTAAGGCAGAGGGGCCGCATGGTGGGCCTGTGTTGCCTGGTATCAGGTGCATGACAGATATCACTGGGGAGGATGATGCTGATGCTGCTGCTGGTGACGCCAGCGCTGCTGCTGCTCCTGCTGCCACTGCCGATAATTCTGCTGCTGCTGCCACTACTGATAATGCTGCTGCTGGTGGTGGTGCTGGTAGAGGTGGTGATAAAGCTGACGATGCCGGTCGAAACCGGAGAGATGACACGGGGCATGGAATTCGACGGAACAAATGGGACGAGGGGGGAGGAGGAGGTACGGATGGGCGAGGGGTAGACGGAAGGGAGAGCTACAGGAGGGATCTGGATGGAAGCAGACGATTCAGAGCTGAGGACCCCCCCCCTCCTAGGAGGTCTAAGTTTTCTGCGGAGCATGGTCATAGGTGGGGAGGGGTTGGGAGGGATTTGGGACGCGGTGGGGAGTGGGGAGTGGCAGGGGAGTGGGGAGGAGGAGAGGGGGCGCTGGAGAGGAGGAGCAGTAGGGAGGGACCGGCTGTAGCGCCGTCCTCTGCCGCGGCTACAGCCGGAGGAGGAGCAGGAGCCGGATCTGGAGCTCCGGGTTCTGGTGTCTCCAGGTCCGGAACCAGCCTCGGGGCAGGAGGCTCGGGAGGGTTTGGTTCGAACCTGGCGCCGTTTCATGGTCCGGGAGGGGCGCAAGCAGCAGTGGCAGCAGCAGCAGCAGTAGCAGCGGCTGCAGCGGCAGCAGCAGGGGCAGCAGGAGGGGCAGGGGGGTCAGGCGGGGGTTATGGTCCTGCTGCTGCTGCTGCTGCCGCTGCTGCAGCTGCTGCAGCAGCCGAAGCGTATGGGTATTCGGGAGGGATGGGAGCAGCTGGGGGAGGGTTTTCTGGGGGAGGTTATATGGGTCGGGGTATGTCCATCCAGCACCTGCACTTTGGTATGGGTCGAACCCCGCCCTCTTGGTTCGGGTCAGGTTCGGCAGCATGGGCGGCACAGTTCCAGGCCTTGCAGATGGGTCGGGGAGCTGGGAACGTTGGGGGGTTTGGTTCGGGTGGGATGGGAGGTATGGCAGGAGGAGGGCAGCTAGGCTCGGCAGGCTATGGTTCGGCAGGGTATGGCTCGGCAGGCGAATGGGGTACTCCAGGAGGGGGTAATCCGCATGGCCACGTGTCATCAGCTCATCCTAGTCATACATCTGCCCAGATGACGTCACCTCGTGCTGTCGCTGACGCAGCAGGGGGAGGAGAACCCAGATACACGTCAGCACGAGGTGGCGAGAGGAGGACGAGTGGATTGCAGGCTGTTTTGGGCGGAGGGGGCAGCGGAGGGGGCAGCGGAGGGGGCAGCGGAGGGGGCAGCGGAGGGGGCAGCGGAGGGGGCAGCGGAGGGGGCAGCGGTGGGGGGAGTGGTGGTGGACGGGATGGGGAGGATAGAGGGAAGGGCAGGAAGGATGGGGCTGAAGCTGCTGGCCCTGCTTCTGCCGCTCTTGACGCCAGTGCTGCTGGTGCTTCTTGTGGTGGAGCTGTTACTGGTGCCACTGGCGCTGCTGCAGTGTGTGCATCACCAAGCGGGGGGGAGCAAGGCGACCTACGCAAGTCCACCAGCAGAGACATTGTGGGCAAGGCAGCAGCAGGAGCAGCAGGAGCAGGAGCAACAGCAGCAGATGGCACAGCAGCAGAGCCATGGGACGCGCATTTCAAGGGTTCAGCTACACCCCGATTCCACCCTGGCACGTCACACCGCATGCCTGGTGGCCCATCTCTCCACCCTCCCCATGCCCATCCCCATGCACATGGCAATCCCCATCCGCATGCCCATCCGCATCCCCATGGGCATGGGCATGGCAGTGCTGGTTCAGGTGCTCGAGCTCGAGGGATCAGTGCTGCTGGCCTGTCTAACGCTCCTCCCAGTCGTGCTGCTGCTGCTGCACCTGCTGGTACTGGTGCTACTGCTGGTACTGGTGCTGGCGGTGGTGCCAGTGCGGCTGGGGCTTCTAAGTCCCCGTTAGCTCACAGGCCATCCATTTCCACGCCATCACGTCTCCCCAAGCCAAGGGAGCCTGGAAGAGAGCAGGATGGAGGGCGGGAGCAGGGCGAGGGGCAGCTGAAGAGGAGAGGATCCGTTGGCAGTGCCGTTGGCCCTGCCAGCGGTAGTGGGGCTGGTGGCGTTGGTGCTGGTGCTGGTGGTGCTGCTGGTGTTGGTGGTTCTGGGATTGGTGTGATAAGTGGTGGTGCTGGTGGTGGAGGCAGTAAGGAGAGTGGGCCGAGTGCAAAAGGAGAGAGGGTCGAGGGTGGTGTTGCAAGGAAGAAGGAGGTGGGGCACAAAGCCCCGGTGAAAGCGCAGCCGGTGAAAGCGCAGCCGGTGAAAGCGCAGCAGAAGGAACAACAGGTGAAAGCACAGGGAAAGGAGCACCAGCAGAAGGTGCAGGGGAAAGAGCAGAAAGAAGCAGGCAAGCAGCAGCAACAGCTGGCCAAGGCCAAGGAAGAGCCGAAGAAGTTGCAGCAGCAGCAAGCAAAGGGAGAACATAGGGCTGAAGGGAAAGGGATGGAGAAGGAGGTTAAGGTGAAGTCAGTTACAGTAGCAGCAGGGAAGGATGAGGCACCGCCACAACAAGCATTGCAGCTGCTCATAGGGAAGCGACCTAGCAAGTGATGGGCGGGCTGGGGGGGTACTTACGATGCGCACTTTCGGAAATGGGGATGAGAGGGTGATGATGACCCTGTCACCTGTGTTCAGGTGGTGTGTGGCGTGGATTTTCTCCTCTCTTGAAATGTGTCTTGGTTCTTGTGCAAATCTTGCACGAAAACTTAAAGCCCAAAACCTGAATTACAAAAAAGGGAAGGCGAACTGTGTACAGTTTGCCTCCCTCCCGAGCCCACAGTTTTTTTCCCGAGCCTCTCTGGTTACCAGATGACTCGCCGCAGAAAAACAGGGAGTCGTAGAGCAGCACAGGTTTGGTTGGCGAGAGCCCCAACCACTCCCTCCACAAGAGATAACGACTCCAGCTGTGCACAGTTTGAAAACTGGGTAATTCAGGTCGTATGGTACAAGAAACTCCTAGTTTACCAGCAGAGGTAGAACAGAAAGCCAATAGAGCTGTAGCCCACTTCACAAAAAAATCTCGCTTATATGCAATTGCCCCGCCTTTTGTGATGAGCCTATTTTTGAGTCGACTCAAAATCTAGCTTATATGCGATTGCCCCGCCTTTTACTCTGCATTGTCGTCGAAACCCTGCGTGCCCGCGCGAAACGCCAGTTTGCCGAATGCCTCACCTTCCTCTCCACGGTAGTCAACTACCCGCCGCCCTGTAGTGACATCCTGTCCTGCTCGCTGTCATGACCCCATTCCGACGCCCTCAGGTCCAGTTGTAGGGCGCATTCGCCCTACGTTTCCGTCCGCCCTTTTCCCCTCCCATCGCTTCGTCGTCGATGTCGTCGTGTCCTACAACGCCGGCACTTTTACGTCCCCGATCCCTTCCCCCCACCGTCGCCCACGCTTCCCCCCACCGTCGCCCACGCTTCCCCCCACCGTCGCCCACGCTTCCCCCCACCGTCGCACACGCTTTCCCCCACCGTCGCCCACGCTTTCCCCCACCGTCGCCCACGCTTCCTCCCACCGTCGCCCACGCTTCCTCCCACCGTCGCCCACGCTTCCTCCCACCGTCGCCCACGCTTCCTCCCACCGTCGCCCTCGCTTCCTCCCACTCTCCCTACACTCCTTCGCACCGTCACCCACGCTTCCCCCCACCCTTGCACCCTTCTTTCCTTCTCTCTGATTCTCCCTTCCCCCCTGCCTGGGTGTGCGAGGCAAGGGGAAAATGAAAGCTGATGGGGTGCGAGGCGAGGAGCATGCTCCGCTGTGCACGTGCCCTGTTCCTCACGCTGTGCCCCACACAACCCCATGGCAGCACAGCAAGCTTGAACCAGCCTCCTCCTCTCTCTCGCACCAACCCCGCTCGCATGGCAGGTGCTGCTGCAGCATTGGAGGAGAGCGCTGAACCGCACACCCGTGGCAGGGCGTGCAGGCGGGCAGTGAGGAGCGCTGTGCACAAGGGGGCGAGGGGACGGGGCAGGGGAGCGGGGGAGGCGGGGCAGGGGAGGCGGGGGGTAGGGAGAGAGGGTCCAGGGATCCTCCTATCCCACGTTCCACCCTTATACCCTGCCACCCTTATACCCTGCCACCCTTTTAACTCCTGCCCTCCTCCCTTCCCCCGGTCCATCCTTCCTCCGCTGTCATGTCATCCCCCTTCCTCCTTTCTCCGTCTCTCCCTCGTCCCAAGCGTTGCCGACCGCGTTGCGCTTTTTCTCCCCGCAGATCTCTCTTCCCCTCCCATCGCGTTCGCGTCGTCGTCGCGAGCAAGTACCGTCCGCCCTTCCACTCTCCATTCCTCCCGCCTCTCTTTCTCTTTCCCTCCTTCACTTTCTTGCATCCGCCCTTCCTCCAAGCCTCCCTTCTCCCTACCACTCTCTCACCCACTCTTTCTTTCATCCTCCTACCTCTCCGCCCTGCCGCCCTTTTTTTTAAGCTGCCACCTTCCGATCTTCCTATCGTCCGCCTTTCTGTCTGACCCACTTGCCTACTCCCTACTTGAATTCCTCACATCCTCCCATCCCCCCTTTCCCTTCCACGCCTGTACACTCCTAGCCTGTTTGTATATTCAAGGGTGCCCTTCGATTGTCATTGTTTTGTACGGTATCCTTCCCAGCTGCTTCAACATATGACACATCAAAATTAGTGGTTCGTGTTTGTGCAGGTCTGCCATGCATCCAGTTGTGAGGCGTTTGCTGTTTGATGATAGTGGTATGACAAATAGGTAGCCATGCCATGTATTGATGTTTATGCTTCTCATAATAAAACATTCTCGCTTCAGAGCAGCCATGCACATGGATGGCCATTACAAAGAGGTGGAACAAAGCATAATATTGCTTATATAAAAGTTGTCAACAGTGGACTATAGGAACAATGCACAAAGCTAGGAGGTGGTAACTTTCCATCACGTTCCTGTTGGGCTCATGGTGCTGGGCACCTGTCCAAGCATGGTTCTGTGATAGAACGGGGAGGGAAGCGGGGATATGGCAGATAAGCGAGGGTTGGATGTGGACGGGGCAGAAGGGGTGAGCAAAAGGGGAAAGAGAGTGAGCAGGGGGGAGAAGGTGGTGAGCAGGGGGGAGAAGGGGGTGAGCAGGGGGGAGAAGGGGGTGAGCAGGGGGGGAAAGCCAGTAAGCAGGGGAAAACGAGGGGTCTGAACAGAGTAAATGAGAGGGACTGTGGGGAAAAAGGGTTGAACAAAGGGGAATAGAGAGTAAACAGGGGGGAAAGATGGGTGAGTCCACGGGGAAAGAGAGTGAGCAGGGGGGGAGAGAGTGAGCACGGGGGGAGAGAGTGAGCACGGGGGGAGAGAGTGAAAACGGGGGGGGAGAGTGAGCACAGGGGGAGAGAGTGAGCAGGGGGGGAGAGAGTGAGCAGGGGGGAGAGAGTGAGCACGGGGGGAGAGAGTGAGCACGGGGGGAGAGAGTGAGCAGGGGGGGAGAGAGTGAGCACGGGGGGAGAGAGTGAGCAGGGGGGGAGAGAGTGAGCATGGGAGTGAGCAGGGGGGAAGAGAGTGAGAGAGTGAGCAGCGGAAAGAGATTGACGGGGGGAGAGATTGAGCAGGGGGGTAGAGAGTGAGCACGGGGGGAGAGAGTGAGCACGGGGGGAGAGAGTGAAAACGGGGGGGGAGAGTGAGCACAGGGGGAGAGAGTGAGCAGGGGGGAGAGAGTGAGCACGGGGGGAGAGAGTGAGTAGGGGGGAGAGAGTGAGCAGGTGGGGAGAGAGTGAGCAGGGGGGGAGAGAGTGAGCACGGGGGGAGAGAGTGAGCACGGGGGGAGAGAGTGAGCAGGTGGGGAGAGAGTGAGCAGGTGGGGAGAGAGTGAGCAGGTGGGGAGAGAGTGAGCAGGTGGGGAGAGAGTGAGCAGGTGGGGAGGGAGTGAGCACGGGGGGAGAGAGTGAGCAGGGGGGGAGAGAGTGAGCATGGGAGTGAGCAGGGGGGAAGAGAGTGAGAGAGTGAGCAGCGGAAAGAGATTGACGGGGGGAGAGATTGAGCAGGGGGGTAGAGAGTGAGCAGGTGGGGAGAGAGTGAGCAGGTGGGGAGGGAGTGAGCACGGGGGGAGAGAGTGAGCAGGTGGGGAGAGAGTGAGCAGGGGGGAGAGAGTGAGCAGGTGGGGAGAGAGTGAGTAGGGGGGAGAGAGTGAGCAGGTGGGGAGAGAGTGAGCAGGGGGGGAGAGAGTGAGCACGGGGGGAGAGAGTGAGCACGGGGGGAGAGAGTGAGCAGGAGGAAAGAGAGTGAGCAGTGAGCAGGGGGGAAGAGAGTGAGCAGGGGGGAAGGGAGTGAGCAGGGGGGAGGAGAGTGAACAGGGGGAAAGGGTTGAGTGAAGGGGGAAAGAGAGGGGTTAGAACAGGGGGAAAGGGAGTGTACAGGAGAGAAGAGAGGGGAAGGGTTGTGCAGAGAGTGCGCGGGGGGGAGAGCGTGAGCAGGAGAGAGTGAACGGCAATGGGAGGGGTAGTGAAGGCGACGGGCGGGAAGCGAGTGCGACTGGCGGGGAAGCGAAGTGCGACTGGCGGGGGAAGCGAGAGCGACGGGCGGGGAAGCGAGTGCGACGGGCGGGGGAAGCGAGAGCGACGGGCGGGGGAAGGGAAGGCGACGGGCGGGAGAAGCGAAGGCGACGGGCGGGAAAGGCGACGGGAGGGGGGACTGAGCGCGACGGGGTGGGGGGGAAGTGAAGGCGACGGGGGAGGGGAAGTGAAGGCGACATGCGTGGAAAGCGAAGGCGACGGGCGGAGCGAAGGCGACGGGCTGGGGTCGCGAAGGCATCGGGCCGGGGTCTTGAAGGCGACGAGCTGGGTAAGCGATGGCGAAAGAGATCGGAAGCGAAGACCTAGGGAAAGGAAAGCGAGGGCGAGGAGAGGTTCCCGCTTGGGCGAAGGGTCACGCTACGATATTCGCCGCGAGTTTACGCATCAGTTGCACTCGAACCTGCATTTCGACACCAGCGAACACTATATTTGCGGGCCGTCATCGAAATCCGCGCCACACACATTCGTAAGGCGCCTCTGATTCCCCGCTATGTCTAAAGGTATGCTCTATGCCTAGTTATCTGCGTACTATCTCAAACTGTGCACAGTTTGGGATGGACGCCCTTTTCTGGTTGTTGTGGGAAGAAACCCAGCCACATATCATATTCTTGTACGCGACAGACTTTTATCGCAAATTGGTTTCGCGAGTGAAAGTGCTTCGCACTCCAACCGAACCTCCGTCTGCCTGCCTTCCGAACCTAATTTTTTCCGTTGACTTCCGTTGAGTAATTCAGGTCTTGGGCTTTAATTGCATGCTTGAGCAACGAGTCCACTCATTTTGGGTGACGGTCGCAAAGGAAACTTAAAATGTTACTGCATTCTACTTCATGTGTCAATTGCACTTGGGTGCACGCCACATCCTCTAATGATTTTCAGCGAGGCAAAGATGGATGTAAAGCTGGCTCACACATTCAGGGAGGAATGCATATGATTCATCCTGCCAAAGTCACTTATTACTATCAGTTGCAATCATATGATGCATATGATTCATCCTGCCAAATCAAGTTCCTGAAATAAATATCGTGGTGCTCACAGTTGCTTTAGTGGCTTAAGAATCAGGCCTGCCGATACGCCATTTGTGGTCTCCATCTTTACGAAGTCAATCAGGACCATCTTTACAAAGCGTCCTCAGAAACGGGCCCAGCAATAGTCACATTCTGACTCGCAGTCCCCTTTACAGTCAAGCGTGTATCCAAGCACAAGAGGGTTTCTAAGGACCACTCCTCTCAGGGAATCACCGCTGATCCGCCATTCCCGGTCCAGCTTAGCGACATTCGGCGTCAGCCGCTTCTCCACGCTGCACGCTAAAACATGGGGAAATTCCCCGAAGTACTTCTTAAAATCTCCATCCTGAAATCTGGCCGTTTCTCGGAGAAAAGAAACAACGGTTGAGATTTGATCCGGCGACGGAACGACGTTGACGATCTCGTCTCGCCAGTAAGATCTGGCCGTCCATCCGAAAGCTTTCGCGAGCACGGTTTCAGCGGCATCAGTTTCGAGACCAAGGGTTTCGAGCATCCCTCGGCATTCTACCCATTGCTCCAGCTGATCGCCGGAAAGCTCTTTCGACGGAGAGGCAACGTTTGCTGGCTTAGTGCTGGCTCTGCAAACGAGCCTGGCTGCTCTATGATTAGAAGTGGCTGTCAGAGATTGAGCAAGCGCTCCATCATGAGCAACTGGAGACCGGGTTTGTGTAGGAAAGTGAGTAATGCTTTGTCGAGTGATCATGCACGCGACGCCGGATACTGCAACCTTTAGAGTGGCCATTACAGCTTCAGCCGGTGAGAAATAACAAAACAGAATCAGCTGCGAAAACGAAGCGGGGAGGCTGCGTGACGCGCTCTACCGTGTGTATGTGGAAAGCCAGAAGAAAAATGGTCGAGGCTGAAACCTGATTCCTAGCGCCTTGAACTGTGACTTCTGTGTCTGTCCTGAATTCTGATTCCTGGTTCTTCCATTGAGCAGCAAATGCATCCCTCTTGCTGATAAACATTGGGCTTCGGTGTGGTTGGACGGGAACGTCCATGACGTGGCCGAACCAGAGCCGTTAGAAGTTGGTACCCTAAACAGGTGCTGTTATGTGTTAAGAGTGTAATTGAGCGAGCTAGCGAGAATTGCACTATCTAAGCAAAACAATACAATGAGAGAAGGCATGCGCGAAGAATATATAGCCAACTAGAGTGGGAACGGTAATGCGAGTAATTGGGGTGCGCTACGGGCCTAGCGCCGAGGTTGGGATATGTCGAGGCGGAGGTCCGGAGCACGGGTTACCAACCGAGCCGTTAGGTTGGGTCGCGTCGTGAACAGTGGCGGGAGTCGTAGTCGAGGCGAGTGTCGGGAGCGGGTAACGTTTCACTATTTGGGTGCCGATGGCGGGAATGGTCTTGTACGCAGTAAGCAGGGGCGCGAAGTAAGGGAAACGAATTTTCCTTACACTACCCCCCTCCCCAAGGAGGCCCTCCTTACGAGAGTGCATGTACATCTCGAAAATTTCGACTACGCGGATACTCAGTGAGGACAGGGTGATTCTCAATTCTATCCAGGGGAACCCAGTTGTCTTCGGTGGGCGTGTGGTCTTTCCAGCAGATCAGGAATTCGATCCTGCGGGCTACCCGTGGGTCACGTACTCGGTGGTGATGATTAGTTAAGTCGGCGGTCGTATCATGCTGGCGGGGCGGTTGCGAGGCAGTTGGCTGGTGGATGGCACGTATGGGCGAAGCAGGCTGACGTGGAATGACGGGCTGACATACCAGTCAGCAGGGAGGAGGAGGTGGGCGGTGACGGGTGTGATCATGTGGCTGATGCGAAATGGCCCGCAATATCGGGGGCGGAGTTTTGGGGTGATGGGCAGATGGAGGTGTCAAAATTATGTATAGGCCCATAAAGGGTACAACCCAATTAGGGTTAGCACTTGTACCCAACTCATTGCTAGTTCATTCATGTCAGATATATATGCCTTAGCATATGTAGGCTGTAGTGGGGTAGACACTAAGGGGTACAAGTTTCATATTTGTATCTCACACTTTCCTAGTTCATTCATTCCTGTTGATTCTCACATGGTATAGAGCGGGTTCCCTCATGGGACCGTTCCTTCCTAAGGGCCCACCATAACAATTTTTTTTTAGCTGCCCGAAGCGAGTCTCGCGCCCTGCCCTAATTTTTTTTTTTTTTTCGCGGCCCCTACGTGGCCCCTTTGTCGCCTAGCGCGCCCCTACGCGGCCCCTACGCGGCCCCCACGCGACCCCTACCCGGCGCCTAGCGCGCCCCTACGCGGCCCCTACGCGGCCCCTACGCGGCCCCTACGCGGCCCCTACCCTGCCCCTACACGGCCCCGTCGCGGCCCCGTACCTGACCTGCCCCGGCCCCGACCCTGTCGCGGCCCCGTCCCTGACCTGCCTCGGCCCCGTCCCTGACCTGACGCGGCCCCTACGCGGCCCCTACGCGGCTCCTGCGCCGCCCCTACGCGGCCCCTACGCGGCCCCCACGCGGCCCCTACGCCGCCCCTACACGGCCCCGTCGCGGCCCCGTACCTGACCTGCCCCGGCCCCGACCCTGTCGCGGCCCTGTCCCTGACTTGCCTCGGCCCCATCCCGGACCTGCCCTGGCCCCGACCCTGTCCCGGCCCTACCCCGGCCCCGTCGCGGCCCCGTCCCGGACCTGCCCCGGCCCCGATCCTGTCCCGGACCTACCCTGGCCCCGTCCCGGACCTGCCCCGGCCCCGACCATGTCCCGGCCCTACCCCGGCCCCGTCGCGGCCCCGTCCCGGACCTGCCCCGGCCCCGACCCTGTCCCGGCCCCGTTGCTGCCCCGTCCCGGACCCTGCTCGGCCCCGACCCTGTCCCGGCCCTGTCACGGCCCCGACCCAGTCCCGGACCTGTCGCAGCCCTGCCCCGGCCCTCCCTCGACTCCGCCCCTGGTAAGAGCATACAGGGCCAAGCCGCGCTGCCGAGCCGCACTGCTTTGCCGAGCCGCCCTGCCGAGTCGCGCTGTCCTGCCTAGCTCAGTTGCACTGCTGCCGCTGCTAGTCTGCTGCTGCTCCTATCATGGCTAGTCCTAGTCTTCTTACCTTTGATGCTGAGGGTCGAGCGGTTGACTTCGATGTCTGGCTAGATGATCTGCAGCTTTTCCTTCAGTGCGATAGCAAGGATGGTCTCTCACTGTTTGATCTTACGTCGGGCGCCTCTACTGCCCCTGCTACTGATGCTGACAGTACTGTTCGCTCGCAGTGGCTCACGCGCGATGCTGCTGCCCGCCTTGCTGTGCGTAGTCACCTACCGTCTACTGAGCGCGCGCACTTTAGTCAGTACAAGAGTGCTAAGACTCTGTACGACGCTGTAGTTGCACGCTACCCTTCCCCTGCCACTGCTGCGCTTAGCCGCCTCATGCTACCGTACCTGTTCCCTGACCTCGCCGCTTTTGCCACAGTCACTGACCTCATTACGCACCTCCGCACTAGTGACACTCGCTACCGCGCTGCGCTTCCTGCTGAGTTCTGCGCCCAGAACCCCCCCCCCATGTACATCACCCTCTACTACCTAGTCACTCGACTCCCTGACACTCTTCGCTCGGTCAGGGACCACTTCCTCTCTCTTTGCCCTACCACCCTCACTGTCGACCTCCTCGAGGAGCGCCTCCTTGCAGCAGAGACTAGTATTACCGCTGTAGGAGCCTCTCGTGGTGACCCCCGTACCCCTTTCTTTGAGGGGTGCTCCCCTGTTCCTCTTTTGCCCTCTGTTGCCTCTGCTGCTGCTGTCGACCTTGTTGGCACCGAGTCGGTCAGCGCTGCGTCTGCTCCTAGTGAGAGGCGCCGCACCAGCAAGGGCAAGCAGGGCAAGGGCGCTAGAGGAGGTGGTGGGGGCGGCGGTAGTGGCGGTGGAGGCGGAGGAGGGGGTGGGGGTGGGGGTGGTGGCAGAGGTGGGGGCTTCGGTGGCAGCGGTGGAGGTGGAGGCGGCGGTGGCGGTGGCGGGAGGGGTGGAGGAGGCGGAGGCGGCAGCGGCGGAGGTGGAGCTGGTAGAGGCGGAGCTGTGCAGCGGGGACCCCAGCAGCAGCAGCGCTCTCGTGAGACCCCGTCGCCCCAGCAGCTTCGTGAGTGGTACGCGGGGCGCCAGGGGTCTGGGGGTGCTGGTCCCTGTACTTACGTCCTGCGCACCGGCGACCGCACTGGAGAGCAGTGTGGCGGCCTGCACGCCACCCAGCGCTGCTTCGGTCGCCTGACAGACGCCTGGCGTGCCTAGTTCC